TGCCTGGCTGTGTGTTTCCTGGACAGGGCTGCCTTTTACAGCTGCTTTTTGTATCTCTGCTTCTGTCTCCTTGAACCCCAGTCGACCTCGGCAGATGGCCGCTCACACTAAGCCTGGTTCTGCTGGAGGTTTCTTCCTGTTAAAGGGATTGTTTTTAAGTCAGTGAGTCAATGCAATCAACTGGTTTTCCTTAGATATAAAACTTTGAATCAATTTGACTGTATGATCTGGTGAACTGTAAAGTGCCTTGAGATGACATGTGTTGTGAATTGGCGCTATATAAATAAACTGAATTTAATTGAATTGTTTTATCTCATCTATCAGATGACTGACCATTGACAGACTGACCATTGGGAGATATGGGGTGATTGTAGATTGGGCTGGACCGATGGCTCTGTTTAGGTTGTGCATGATTTAATTTTAATTAAACAGTCAATGCTGTTTGTGCACTTAACTCAGGTGTCTACCTTGCCGAATCCCCCAAAGACAACAAGGGTAATTAGGAAAAAGCAGACAAAACCCTTGTCCTTGCCTCTTTTTTTTTTAGACACATGTAGTGCCTCCGCCACATCTAGCTTGGAGCACAAGTCCGACTTTTCCTTTGATCTAACCAGCCCCAACATCAGGAAAAAAGAACATGAAAAACTAGAGAAATACCAGGGTCTCAGAAAAGAGCTGGAGAAAAGCTGGAAGGTCAAGGCATCAGTGGTGCCTTTGGTCATTGGGGCACTCGGGGCAGTGACTGCCAAACTTGAAGACTGGTTACAGCAGATCCGTAGAAATACATCTCGGTCCAGAAAAGTGCAGAACCCTCAAGCTACCATGCCTCTGGTAGAGGACCCAAGCTCAGAGGAGAAAAGGTGGAAGACTGCCCGCAGTGGGTGAGGAAGAGTTTTATTTTATTTTTATTAGGGCTGGGACATTAATGCAATAATTTTGATTAATTTATTAAACAAATATTAACGCACAAAAATGTTTTAATTGCACACCATAACAGATATGTCGCTCTGCATTAGAACAATGGAGAATGGCATGATGTCTGATGGTGTGCATAGCCTCCTGGAAGTCATTTGGGGTTTCACCAAAACAATTATTTCACCTTTGGGGGGCAGCACTAGAACTAATGGCCAGAGTACAGTTGTTCCAGTTTGTGTGGGTTGTTTTGTGTTTGTCTCTCCCTTTACCACCAGGTGGCGCCCTGTCCTCGTTGGTCCTCCTGCACACCTGCGGCTCATTGGTTCATCAACAGGGAGTATATGAGCCGTTGACTGCCACTACCTCGACGCCAGAGTGTTTGCCAGTTTTGGGTACTCTAGCCAAGCCGTGATTAGCTGAGTCTAACCTGTGCTGCGTTTCTCTGAGACTAATTGCGTTTTTGTCTTTACCTTTTGGCAGGAAGCCTTCCCACTGACTGGAAGTTTTTGCCTTCTCCCCCAGGAAGGATATTTTGTGTTCACACTGAGCTGGGGAAAAGTTCAGTCAGAAAACTAAGTGGCAGTCCGCTCTCATACTCCTCAGAGTCCAACTCCACCTATCTGTCCGCCCTCCAACGAGTTGTTCTCCCTCTGGAAAACTCACACATTCTGGATTCAAGGCTTCGACTGAGATCCCCTCCTACGTGAGTCCCTTTTTCCTCCATGCTCAAGAACTCTTCAGTTTCCTACGGCCATTGAACTTTAGTTCAGGTTTAACAGCTCTCTCTGAGTTCAAGATTCCACCAGTGGCGTTGTGGTGTTGGATGTAGGAGTTTGCCCTGAAGGGTTGACGGTTTAAGCCCCACCAAAATTGATGACTTTCAAAGCCTCTCCACACTGATACCACTTGACCGCTTCAGGAAATGGTTCAGACTGCACGAGAACTTGACAAGCATTTAAACAGCAGCAGTATTCAGTGAAGATGTAAGAGTTTGTAGGAGCGTTGCTATCGGTTGGATAGAGCTTGGATATATTCTAAGGTTAGATTGCTTGTAAAAACAACCAATCTAGCTGGTAAAAACTATTTTGGTTAGATTAAACAATGTAATGATCAAAATCTGAGCAAGCCACTGGTTACAGTTGCAACATCAGTGTTAAGTAGTATTGCTTTCCAATATATAGTTAATATTGCTAGTGGTGTCAGCAGTAAGACATTGACTTTCAATCCTAAGGTTGTTGGTTTGAGACCCACCTTAGACTTTTGAAAGTTGCGATAATACTTAACACGTATTTGGGCTAATGTGTCTAATTTGAATTAGTTTGCCCTGGTTCACATATAGATTGGGTAAAAACAGTGCCAAATTCGATGGGATGGTTAAGCCAAAAGATTGGTTGAAAATATAACTTCCAACCAGAACAAAACCAAAAACTATGGAAAAACTTTTCTTTTTTTTTTTTTTATACAAATGACCTACACCTTTCATTTTGCTCATCGTTGCCCAATTTGCACAAACAGTTTCACTGTCTGCTTGAACTTATTGCACTAAAATGTGACTGTTCTCTTCTAAGACATTTTGCACACACGCAAAAAAAAAGGATTTATCATACACACCAATTATTAGCAATTTCAAAGGAACTTAAGAGGGCAAAAAAAAAACAAGAAAAAGAATTGCCAACATCACAAATGATATTAGTAACTGTAGTTCTGCACTCCACCAGTAGTTGGTGACATGTTCACATGAAGCTTCACGAACTTTTGGGATCGTTGAAGCAATTTGGCCAAACGGTTCAATGCCCCATGAGACTTAATCTAACCATCACTGCCAAAAACATCTGCTCACAGAATACCAGTATTTGAAAAGGTATGTTTAAAACAAAAAAAAATTGCTCTCCAGTTGCTAAGTTTTTCTTTTTTTATTATGATTTTGGTGGAAGCAATGGTGGGGATCATAGTATAGAACATTAAAAAAAAAAAATTATGTTCTGTTGTTCAACCATTTTAGTATGGAGGACCTAAGGAGTCACTGAAAGAGAAAACCAGACATTTCAAATGTTAAATATTTATCATGCAATTCAAAATCATTTTCTAATTGCATATTTTTAAATGAATAATTAAAGGAATTGTAAATTGTATTTCTTAATCCATTATCAAATACTGAAATTTGAAAATGTATTTTTTATGTATAGTGTACATATTCTATTTCTAAATAAAGATTTAATTTTGCTTTTTATTTATATTGTGTTATAGGTGTAAATGTAATCAGTTTTGTCTTCTATTGCAGAAATGCTATGATGACGATGGAGTGAAACCTGGTGCTTCCCTCAATGAAGGACAAAGTCTGCTGTTAGAAGGACAAAGTCTGCTGTTACTCACGTCATATGTATTTGTGCACAATCTGACAGGAGTAGCTTTTGAAGAGACATCTTGCAATGAACATTTCCCTGGCTTGGTGCCAATAACTTGATATCTTTTTCATAAAGTCCATGGACAGTGAAAGTTACATGGGCCCTAGAGAGATAGCTCCAAAAAGCATACTGTCTTGTACTACTCACACTTGAATAAAAGGGCCAATTCCAGGCAATATTTCAGATATTCAGTGTGCGGCATGATATGAACAACTCAAGCATAGTGGAGAAGTAGGAGCTGATGACATATCAGTATTGTGGAATTGTGATTGAATTGCAGTTTTCAACAGTATTAACAATCAGATATGGACAATTCAGTGTCAAATCATAGAGCTTTTACCAAAAGACCATCAAGGCACGTCTGTATTTCATGTGTTTTTAACAGCTTTTGTGTCAAAGCTCAAAGAACTGGAAGGGGATGAAATAAAATGGAGGGACTTGGAAAACATAGAGCATACATGCAAAGTTCAGTCACTCCTTTGCTCCTCATAATAATACATGTTAACATTCCATCATATATTTACAAACAATTTAATGAAAAACAAGCATGAATAAATTTACTAGTTACA